ATTAATTTGCTGTACTTTGTCATTTAACCTTACAGCAGGATTTGGACTCATGTATCGGTATCGGCAACCCGATTATATTAGTTGTAGTACAACTAGACAACCTCTCTTAGTTCAATATCGGATAGGTTGTAAACAAAATATCTGACAAAAGTAAAGTTATCGCATATGACTTCGTATCTCCAACAAACAGTTGCTTTATAAACTACCAGTTTTGTAACTATAAAGATAGATATATGAAATGTTCCAGTAAATCATGCCTCAAACGAAGCAAATAATCAGAGTTTGAAAGTATGAATAGAGCTTTCAATCAGTTCGGATACAGATTAACAAAAGTAAGGTGTATAAAGTGTTTTATGGTTTGTGAAATGAAACTGCCACAGTGTAATGTGCAACTTTGGTGTTCAGAGGAAATAACATATTATTATCAGTTTTCAACAATAGGTAAGGGCACACGATCCCCTCACGTAATAATTCTCGTTAGGTTTCTCTTCTAGTTTAACATACTGTTGTTAAACCAGTGGTTGACTTCATGCTGACTAGATATGTCGGAACTTAAGAGAATAAGAAACCACCAATGAAGATCCAGAAGACGTTTGAGAGATTAATGTTGCTTATAACACTGGTTTAATTTTTTCAAGAGTTAGACATCCTATTACCATATAAGAATGAGCATAACAGCACTACCTAAATCTTGTAAAGCCTCATGGAGGGCTCGCTCTACTATGGCGTGAGACAAGGTTGTATATTATCTCTAATACAAGTAGAGTTAAGGAATTGTAAACCAACTATATCCTTTTTTTAAGTTTTCACGGCTTACCTGTGTGACGATCGTGGTCTAACAGGGGTTCAACTATTTGATACAGACTAATGCGAAATAAACGTGATGGCCAAAAGTCCCTGTTAAAAAAAGTCCACATTTAAGGGAAATTATTCAGAGAAAACATTATTGAGTGTTAATATGATTTGTGAAGTCTGATCTAATATGCTTACAGATTAGTAAGATTCTGAGTATATACCAAGCAGTGAACATACTGGTTGAAGTCAACTTTCGCGTTCTTATCATCACTAATATGCACAAATACGTGAAGATAAACATTATGGGTTGTGTCAAAAAATAAACAAAGTGTGGGTGTGAAACACATACGAAAGAGAGTAGTAAGATTAGTGGACGTATTCTAACTGATTTGCTAAGAATTCTCGAAATAGTGCAATTTTGAACAGGTAAAACTACTCCATGAAGTTTTCTGCTTAAGCGTTAGAATTATAGGGCTTCGAAGTGGTGCTTAAATCTCCACACTTTGATTCTGTAATCAACAGGTTATCAAGCGTTTCATCAGAACTACCTTCAGTGGTCGGTAAGGAAAGTTGTCCTTGGATAAGTCTTAGATTTTCTGGGTCCAGGGTAGATGGTCCACAATCAGTGACGAGGAATCCACAATTTAGGATTGAAGATTTATCGTCTCTGACCAACAAATTACAACGACCAATAATAGGAAGTTTATGACCAATAATACTGGAAACAGAAGCACTAGTAGGCTTGACTATAACATTGGGTTTTGATAACTTCAAATTCTCAAATGAAATGAAAAGCACCACCGGACAAATACAGTCATATTTGAATATGAAGCAAATTGGTCAAAGTAGTAAAAAAATGATAATATATGATTACTAGAATCACTCAAATTAATAGGATCCAAATTACAGAGTTTAGTATTGATAGCGAAGAAATGAACAGTAATTTTGCAATCCAACTTCATGTATACCCTTTTACCAAACTTGGGGCATATAGCATGATGAAATGCACATGGATTAAATGAATAAATTTTTCCACATGGAGATTATTGCCAAGTTGACATCTACACGTATGACCTTAGGTACGAATCGGATTAAGACAACTAAGTAATGTGGTAGAATTCTTGATATCCCGAGAATCAATTTCATGCATTCCCTCACAATTAATAAACGCAGTTGTAGCAGCTTAGAAGGAACACTTTGGCAATTGTATGAGCTCTATTCCCAGATTTAGCGACTACTTGATCACGCACATGGACATGAAATTCACTACCGGAATTTCACTCAGCGGCATGTATCTGCGATTCGAAGACAAACCCATTAAATTTTCGGTTGTTTTGAAGAGCAACTTTGTGAAATTTCATTCTTTCATGGTATTCAGAATTTGTACCGTTTACATGATTTAGTAGAGGTCTTAGAGAGCTCCATAATGAAGTGAAATAGCATTATCTAGAAATTTCAAATTTTTTAGTAAGCTGTAGGAATCTTTTCTGGTTGATGTAAGGAAATGAGTCACAATTTTACCATCCTCATCTTTCTTGGTCATACTCCAGCTTTCAAACCTTTCAATGTAATCCTCGAAAGCTTCAGAATTTGAACGTATATCTATCTGTTCAGTAACAGGCCCCATCACGTCATCGTTACCATGATTAAAAGTATTCAAACTGGTTTAATAGATAAAAATTCTCAAGGTAGTGCAATTTAAGGTGGGTAAAACTAGTTGAACAAAAATGGATGTATTGTATTTGAAATTTGTAATAACCGCTCGATCAAGTATAAATGAGTCATCAGTTAGCACAAATTAACTAATTAGGTGGAGTCTTTTGTGCTGAATTACGCAATGAAAACAATTATGAAACCAGATTGAGGGTTTGTGGATATTGTAGTAATGTTACTAGTTGAATTCACAAGTCTGTAGTGTGGCGTCGAGTTGCGGTCGACTATGATCACCACTACATGAAGATAACGTGTCAGTTAACCGATAAGATAAGGCCAAATATCAGGAGGTAGTTAATGGCTGTGGTCAAGATGTATTTGGTAGCGCTCGTGCCGGGCTACAAGTGTGGTTGCTGAGAGTAACCGAATTCGTGTAAGGTCACAAGTGACGGAAGAATGTATGTATTTTGTACAGTTAAAAAAATGTACAGTAAAACAATCCCCGGTACAATTGGTTATAATAGTAATTGTTTCCACTACACCAATCGCGTTCTGTTGACAAAAGTAGGTCACTAAAAGTCTATTTAAGCTAGACCACCATTGAAAACCCGGAATCACTGAAAAGCCATTTCATCCTAACAAGAGACTCAGAAGTGTGCTTAAGCGAAATATGTTCATCGAAAAATGTGGCTTGCACATTTTTTGTTGTCGCATACTATCGAGGAACTAATTTTCTGCGGTCTACTAGAGGTCTGGTAAAAATTTCTGATAAATTTAGGATATATATGCAAGTCAGACACAAAAGCCGTATACGTCACAATGACCCAGGTAAGCCTGTTCCGATTTCCGTCGTCGATTGTCGTAATAATGAGTACATCATAGATTATACAGAGTTTATCCATTACACAGTCTGACATACACATGATAGACCTAAAGAAAAGACGTACAATACACTATAGAAATCTGGGTTCTCGTTTAAGCCGTGGCGGCTGTGATTTTTATACTAACTGAGGATCCCTTTGTAAATGATTGCACGCTTACTACGAATCCCAAATATAATACGTTCAATTTTGCTCATCTAATTTTACCTGCGTTAAATTGAGGGGATTCTTAGTAAGCGAATCAGTTTCAATACTTCTAATGATCATACTACAACAGTCTCTAAAGTTTGTCTCTATATGTGGCCTACATTGAACTACATCATAACTTGCGATTTATTGTGGTTAATATGATGAAATCACTTAACGATATGTTTTAAGATCCATAAATCTCGTCTGTGTGGAAGTCAGCAGGCCGCTAAAAGTATTGAGCATATTTATGCGCTTGGTTTCTTTATAGACGTGTGGTGTATGCTACTTATGTTGACAGATACAAGTAGTGTGTAACACCAGTCAAAAGTTGAATGTCTGGCGGCAGAAGGTTGAGAAGATCGAATCGAGGAGGGTAGAAACATAGGCAGAGAGTAATTATAATAACGAAAAAAAGGAATGATGAATTTGTGAGGGACAACTGACAGATGTTCAAATGAAGTATATGATGTATGGTCTTCACATTTTACTAAACCACTGTGTGGTGGTGCATTAAACAATAAATTGGATATTTTAATCTGAATGTTCATGCATGATACTTATATTTATGTGATTGTATTCAAATGTTTTGCACCAAGTCTCACAATCTGGTTCGTACAGTTCCTTCTTCTAAGGATCACCCTGAAGTTTTATGATCCATTATCACCATTCACATTCAAGGTTGAGCCTTTGAACATACCTGAAATGTTCTTCATGTCACCTGACTTCATAGTTTTCATCGGAGATCCAACATGTAAATGAAATGCTGCTATACCAATCAACTAGCGAATTTGATCTATGTAGTATAAATTACGTGGTTCACTTTTTTCATGAACTAACGATGTTGAGTTGTCTTATAATTCTCTGCTCTCGATTTAGTAATAATTGATGTTAATATTATCAAATTCTTTTAAACCACAACATCATGACATGTTATTATATTGAGTTGTGACTAAACGTCACTGATGATAATTGACATCTGAATTTCAGTGATCGATTAGGTCAATCTTGAAACAACTTTAGTGGCCATTGATCAGGAGACATTTTATCATTATACATCCATGAAATTGGAATTTTATGGTTCTGTATAATCAAATTTTTCAAAAAGACTAAATTATCTCATTGAATATAGATAGAAATGAGACGTATCTCAGTCACACATACATCATGGTGATAAAGAAAACTTTGTAGAGCATATGATTTAAAACCCCAACTGGACGAAACGCGCGTCCTGGATTCCACTGCTAGCCAATATCCATCTTTGCTTATAATGCTTGTAAATTTAGGCATATAAAATTAAAGTTGTTGTCAGTCAGCTATTTTAAAATGGATAAACGTTTCATTCTGAGTTTCTCTTTTTTCTTTTGAAGCCAGGTAAACATTATCAGAATCAGCTGACAATAATAATCGTATCAATATGTGACTTTGTCATGAAATTGTTGAAATTCGGTACATCATAACACAATACAAACAAAACCATTCATGTTCAAGCAATGCATGCAATATATTTTGTACACTTATTATGTATAGGTAAATGTTAACCGTCTCAGAAACACACACACTTTGTGTAACTTATCAAAGGTACAGGGATGATTCATCAAATTAATCACATTGTACACAACAGGTTTTAATAATAATCAATGTAAGCAACAAATAATTTGTCTATCAAAGTTTGCTTACTAATGAGTAGGCAAATAGTTTGACCGAAATTTATATTACAATGTACCTTTATATCATTGCACTATATGAAGAAATGAAAGTAGATTTATAATACTTAGTTACAAAATGAAATGAAGATTATGAATCTTTTCTCTAAATGAAACAGTTTGCATGTTTTACAAAAAATTCACAAGATAAACTAATTATTCTTTGTATCCGAGGGATACACATAGTAACAATAACATGTTTTATGACTGGTAACTATGATTTATTTGTTCTTTAAAAGTGTTTATATCATTTTCATTTTTCTGAAGGATTGATTCATTTTCTTCTGTTTGACCAAAAACGAATGCTTTCAACCAAACTAATGGATTATTCAAATAAGATTTACGCTTATTTTTTTTAGGTAAATTTTTCAATTCAATACGTATAGTCCACCATGTATCTGAGGCTAAACGCCAAATTAATCCTGGAATATTGGCTATAAAAACAGTTAATGGGAATGTGAACCAAAATGCAGGACTTCGACATAATTGAGCATATCTTTGATATTCATTACTTGTAGAAGGAACAAATGTCTGTGTAATTAGGATGGGATAAAGATTTACAAAATATACATTAGTTTAAAGTGGTAATCTCGTTAGAATGTAGGTATTCTGTTGGTCAAACACTGTATATTTTCGTTTGTTTTTAATTAATTAAGGCTAAATAGAATTGAAGAAAAGCCTTCAGGATACTCTAGATGTAGATCCTATACAGAACTCTTAATGAGCTATTTGAACAATGTTATGTAATGAACAAATCGATGGTCATTAGGACTAAATCCTAGCTAAAGTGTCGCAGTATAGACTTTTTATTCTGACTTCTCATATCACTATAAAATAACGAAATCCACTTACTTAAAGTCACTGATTACTTATTTACTTACTTACGCCGGTTACCCCCAATGGAGCATAGGCTGCCGACAACCATTCTCCAACCCACTCTGTCCTCAGCCTTCTTTTCTAGTTCTATGCAATTCTTGTTCATTCTTCTCATATCTGTCTACATTTCTCGGCGGAATGTGTTCTTTGGTCTTCCTTTTCTTCTTTGACCTTGAGGATTCCATGAGAGGGCTTGTCCTATGACGCAGTTAAGTGTTTTCCTTAATGTGTGTTCTATCCACTTCCAGTGCTTCTTCCTGATTTCTTCCACCTTTGGGATATGGATTGTTCGCTTTCGCACAGTAAGTTGTTGCTGATAATATCTGGCCAACGGATCCGAATTATTTTGCGTAGACAACTGTTAATAAACACCTGTATCTTCTGGATGATGGCTTTCGTAGTTGTCCAGGTTTCTGCCCCATACACTAGAACTGTCTTGACATTTGTATTGAAAATCCTGACCTTGGTGTTGGTTGACAGTTGTTTTGAGTTCCAGACATTCTTCAGTTGTAAATATGCTGCTCTTGCTTTGCCGATCCGCGCTTTCACATCTGCATCAGTTCCACTATGTTCATCAATGATGCTGCCCAAATATGTAAGGGTTTTTACATCTTCCAAATCTTCTCCGTCAAGTGTGGTCGATTGTTGCATGCTGTATTGTATCGGAGAATTTTGCTTTTCCCTTTGTGTGTGTTGAGACCTACTAATCCTTAGGCTGCTGCCACACTGGTCGTCTTCTCTTGCGTTTGTTGTTGTGTGTGCGATAGAATAGCCAGATCATCAGCGAAGTCTAGATCGTCCAGCTACATTCTAGCTGTCCATTGTATCCCATGCTTCCCCTCAGATGTTGACGTCTTCATGATCTATCCGGTCGATTACCAGGAGAAAGAGAAATTATAGTAAAGAATATCCATGAAACAATGGGCAGTTCAAAAGGTTTCTTGGTCTTGTGACGCTCCTTATGTCATTTCAGAACTTAAATAATAATATTCAGAATGTTATATCCGATATATATATATAACAGTGTTTTTGATATCTAATCTAATTATAAAGCAGATATTCTAGAGCAAGTTTAACTAGTAAGGACTGAAATGATGGAATATGTTTCTAACTTGCCTTATGAATGCATTTTAAGAAATCTCAATCTATCTTCTTTGTTCTAACATACATTAAGAAGTGTTCCAATATGAGCTAATAGATGAATTCACTCTGAATATATCATAGATTATTCTCCCATCTAGATGAGATCAACACTGTAATATCAATTCCAATGATAAAACAAATAGATCCCTTGTTCTTTTACACTTCCAATGGTTGTTGTGATAAAGTCTCATTAGAATAGTAGAAATTTCTATTTTATACTATGGAAACGTTTATATGCAATTAATTGATCACTGAGTGGTGATCAATGTCATGTATATCAGGTCGTTCTTAGTGTAGATCGAATCTTATCGACCAACATGCAATATGGTCATCGGTCTAGGTGACTCGACCTTGGATGCTCTATGTTGAGATAAGATGGTTTTTGAAAGTAATCGACAGAAAACCCTAGTTGATAGGATTTGACTACCTTTAACCACCATCTTTTCTCAAGAAACTTTTGTTTAAGGTAAAACTTAAGATTCACTTTCATGATGAAAATGATTACCATATAAGTATTCTATTTAAACTAGAAAACGACAATTACAAGCGATTCCATTACTATAACAGACAAAGTTACATATTTCTAAAGAAATATCTTATATATATTTGAGAGACATCATTTCTTTCAGGAGGTTTCACTAGGTCTATAACATGTTGTTCATTGAAATAGTCCAACTAACTGATTATCTATAAAAGGATCAAGGAAGTTGAACTTTTAGAGGCCCGTGGATCTGACTCCAATTAGATCGTATGAATGTTTGTTATCACTTATCCTCGTATATAATCATCGACTTAAATCGCGTTAGTCAATAACGGAATTTAGATAAGTCAATTAACGAGAATGACCTTTGAATACATATATTTTGTATGTAAAGTGAATGTAATAGAACATAGCCAACTCCCCTGATTGGAGTCAGCTCCACGGGCGTCTAAAAACTGAACCCGATGTTTGTTACTCAAATAGTTGTTATTATTGTTTCATCAAGTTAACCGAATGATAACTAACTTAGGATCTTATGGTTCATATTTTTGATCCCACTTAAATAATAATATAATGACATTAGTCATTTACAATTAATTGTGTTAAACCTCTCACTGTTAACATAACTGAATCAATACAATAAGCATTGCTTGCTTGCTAAAACTTCAGGATCTCCATCTTCATAGGGACTGATTAGTCAGTACTGATAAACGTATTGCTTGTTTAGTCGTTAGTGTTGATTGAATTTAATCGATTGACTTGTATTGCAACCTCTAGTACAAGAGATTTGAGATCATTTGTGCTTAGAACTTAGGTGGTGAGAGATGATCATTAGAAAATCCTGTACCTAGATTTTTGTGATAGTCACCACTCTACAGTAGCAAGATTTACATACATACAATGTTGAAGGAAATAATCCCCACTACAGGGATTCCAACTTGTTACAGCATAGTTTAAAGTCTAAGGTTCTAATAGCTTGACGGTAACATCTAGAACTGTGATAGGAGTTCGAAATGCACAGAAAAACTCTGTCTTCAAGCGAATCTCCAATGAATACACTATTGCAATCTATCTGAGAGATTTTGCAGAGATTAGTATAATCCATATGTAAAAATTAAGCTAGTCTTTCTATAGTATCATTCAATTGTAATAACATTAAATGAAATTATATCAAATAAACCTAAAATAATCTTAATTATAGTTAAATGATTATCTAAAATTATAACATAATCGGATTAGAAACAACAATGAACCTGAGATTTAGGTACATCTAGCTGATGAGTCTCATATAGGACGAAACATGCATCAAATTGGATTTGATTGCTACTCACTATCTATCTTTGATTACAATGTTTGTGAATTAAGGCAATATCTAGGCAATACGCACTGTATGCAGATATACTAATAAGAGACTGTTCACTTGCAGTTTTAAACATCAATGGGAAGATTCAAGTAAAATAATACCAAGTGAATTTAAACTTCACACCATTGCATAAGCAGGTGGCTATCAAGAATCAGTAACTTAGTGGATAACACGATAGCGTTTGAAGCGAACGATACTGCGTTCGAACCTCAAAAGTGAACATCAACTCTGAGATGTAGGTACATCCAGTTGACGAGTCCCAAATAAGACGAAATGTGCGTCAAACTAGATTACACATCTATCCACTATCTATCTTTGCTCATAACAGTGAACCCCTTGGTAAACTATTAACTGACTGTAAATTCTCACATTCCAACTAAATCACAATTCATTTTATTTAATTATTAATCAGCCATAGTTACCATGGCAACAGTCATTCACGTATCTTCACCGTTTGTCTGTAACAAAAAATTTTCTATCTATTTATTTGAAAAATAACCGTTAATTGATTTTAATGCAGGATTTTAGTTAAATCTTTTCAAAAGAGAAAAATCTGTCAATAAAATTTTATTATAAAATGTCGGAGCCAAATAGCAACTATTTATTATGTTGAATGAATTATTGATTATAGTAATGTTAATGTTATGTTCGTTAACTTGAATACTACTACTGATTCGTCTTACTCGGAATGGAACGAAGAATCAAGGATTCAGAGAGTCGATAGGCTATACTGATCCATTGTCCCTGACTCAGCTAACTCGATCCAGAAGTCTTGGTAAGATGTAGAAAATGTATTCTACAGACAACCAGAAGATACCAGTCTCATCAAGCACACAAATCAAGCATATTTATACAAAATGTATATAATCGATATTGCCATGGAAGTTTTTAAACATTTAATCAATAAGTTCGTCAATCGACTATCTGTGTGGGTGGTGAGAAATGCCCAAGCATACATCTGTATACAAGCTCCACAAAGATAAATTTACAAAATATGAGTTTTGGGGATCTAACGTCCTCAACAGTTAATAGTTGAATTGATGAGTTGATTAAAGCTAGACCACCATGGAAAATCTAGAATTAATGGACGGTTGTTTCGTCCTAGTATGAGACTCTTCAACAGTTTGTGTATACGAGGCATCTTGCAAGGCGAGATCGTGGATGTGGATTGATGAAGAGTTTCATATTAGGACGAAACAATCATCCAGGTTTTCCATGATGGTCTAGCTTTAACTGACTCATGAATTCAACTAATAACATTACTTTAATATCCACAAAAACTCTTCTCTGATAATTGAATTATTCAGCTTTATCTTTAAATTGAACGGTGATAATTGATGCTTCAATTCGTCAGTATTTGTTTTTGTCAGCAACCGTTTTTGTTTTGTATAACTTCCAAGATCAATTCAAATCATAATTATACACAAAAAGGTTTTCATTCAAATGAATCAATCTTCTAAGGGATGGTAGAAAAAATGGTATACACGCTCAAAGGTGCCTACCGTTTCGTTCCAATGACCATGAACGGCTTACTATGAGGCGGCTGTTCTATATTGCAATTGCTTTGGGTTTGTTAGATCTTCATTAAGTTGTATGAATTGTAAGTGTTCTCATATTTAAGTAGTCTTTTGATGCAGTAAAATCATTGTATGAAACATTAATTTAACTGTCTCTAATTTGTAGTGTACATGTCAGATTGATTGTTACTTTGTAAATTGATCTGAGATACCAATTACTGTATTAAACCTCCATATCTTTGTTAATAAGATCCAAAGAACGACGTAATAAGCAGAATTTAACGGTTCTAGATTCGAGAAGTTTCACTTGTTTAAGTTTACATTAAGCCGACTTATCATTCACTTAGGTAGTGAGTAACAAGCACAAACATTACAAAAATTGACGTATCATGACAAAAAAACGCTGTTAACCAAAATACTCGATAACATGTAACATGTAAGCGAGTACCCATAGCATACCGTCTTGAATCTTAAATAGTTCTGTGAGGTCGTTGTAATAAAGCAGGAGATAGTAAGTTTATAACGTCTTAATTACACTTAAACCGGCGAGACTGTAATTTATGGACGAGCCAATCAGAAGCGTTTTAGAGATTTCAAGGTTACGGCGCCAACTTCAGTGCTTAATGCTAACATATGATCGGTTCACAGGGAATTTTGTACAAAACGTGATAATTGAGCAGCTATAACAAATAAAACGGCGGGGCTATAATTTGTGGACGAATCAATCAGGTATAAGATAATAGATCTCGGATTTTAACGCGAAAGTTTCTCGTGCATTTGGCTAAATAAATTTCTGGCATTATAGTTGATGTCAGTTCGTGATGAAAACCCCATATATAATTCTTAATTAACGCAAATTACGACAATTATTGAGAACTGGATAATAAAAGCACCAGTAACACTGGCTGCAGCCAGGTACCACACTACATACGGATGACTGGAGAGCGTACAGACTCCTACATAGACTTGGTTATTTGTATCGTGTCGTTATCCACTAGTAGCATTTTGTGTACTCAACAATCGGAGTGCACACAAACAGTAGTGAAGCTATATGATCGAGGCTGAAATAGTATTTGAGACTTTATCATGACTCCAGAGGCCGACTATTCTGTAGGCGTATGGATGATTTCCTGTACTGCACGTATTACGATTTTAGATCCTCTGAACGTCTTTCTAAGCTTGACAAGTTTTGGAACCATGTAAAAGAAGTGTATCCACTTTATTTTCTTGGTTTTGTATAATATATATATTTTACTCTATACTGACTGTTTGTTGATTGGCTAACATTTCTCATTATCGCTTAAGATTCGTTGAAAGGTCGTCCATAAATTAGAGTCTCGCCCTTAAATCTTTACGTTTCATTTCGTCGAGCTATTGTAGTCAGTATTCAATATAATCCTTAAATTTTATATACTGTTCATCCTGATAACTGTTACTAGATAACACCTCTAACAGGTGTATAAATTACAAGACGAATACGAAGTGTTGATCACGTTTTTGATTACGTCACGTACAGATTATCGAAACTATAGGCATATGAATTCAGAATGAAAAGCTAAAGCCAAGATGCAAGCAAGTCAGCATGCGAGTCGAATAAATAAGATTAAAATGTACATAACTATACATATACATAGGGAAATGAATAAATCATCGAATCAATTAAGCAACTAATAGTAAGGCTAGTAGAATGAATATATGCATAAGCAGTAAGCACAATGTTCAAGCATACATATTCATACAAGTGTAACAATAATAAAGGTACAATGATATAAGCTAAGTTGTTGTTATTATACGGATGACTCTATCCGTTAAATAACTTAACAAAACGGTTTAACCAAATTAAATGTGATGATCAAACTGAATTGTATGTCAGCTGTTATAAAGCCCTTCAATCAGTTTATGTATCAAACTATGTCATTCAAATGGTAACTATTTATATGTCTTGATATTATGCTCCTGTCTGTATAAACATGTGTTATAGCCCACGTACATATCTCTCTTTCTAGATCGCTGGACGACGCCTTCACTTTCGTATATGTAGTATATCCTGTAATCTTCTCAATTCATATGACTCCTAATACGCCTCATTATTTCCCTCTATAGTCGCTCCCTTACGTTCACTTGCATTAGAAATTGCTGCTTAAAGTTTGTTTTAGTGACTGAGAACTTAATGATCTGAATTGTACATTAATAATAAACTGTAGTCAACGCTTCATATTGTCTTCTGAAATTTATACATCGTTAAGAGTTATTTGATAACAGTGATGAAGACGAATGTTTATACAACGTCGTTGGAACTGTCTCGAAGATAATTCACTCAAAGCGTATTCAATGTTCAATGGGATTAAAACTATAAATATTTTATTCACTTGGTTATTGTTTAACTTGAATCTTTCTATTGATGTTTAGCACTGTAATTAATCAGTCTCTTATTATCATATGAGCATACTGCACGGAATACTTTGATATTGCCTGAAGCCACAAAATTCATAAGCCAAAATGGATAGTGGTTAGCAATGGAATAAAGAATGAGCATTTCGCCCTAATTGGGACTCGTCAAATGAAAGTATCTGCATCTCAGAATTGTTGATGTTCACTCTGAGACTCGAACCCAGTATCATTCGACTCGAGCACCATCACGTTATCCACGTAGCTACTTACTTCTAATAATCATTTGCTTGTACAATGAGATGAAGTTTAAATTCATTTGGTATTGTTTACTTGAATCTTCCCATTGATGTTTAGAACTGCAAATGATCAGTCTCTTATTGGCATAGGTGCATCCTTTACAGATTGCTTCGATATTCCCTTAGGTCACAGGTAGAGTAACCAAAGTAGGATAGTGGTTAGAAGTGTAATCCAGTTTGACGCATGTTTCGTCCCAACTGGCACTCATCAGTTGGATGTACCTGTCATATCTCAGACTTGATGTTCACATTGTCGGAATATATGACTAATCAAAATGAAAGTAATAGTGGAATCAACTAACTTACTTGAAAAAGAAATAAAATAACAACATTTAATGTTGTACCAATATGACACATAATTAACATCATATTAAAATCTCTTGTCCATATTGTTGAACGTAATGTTACAGCAATCCATAAATAAACAAATGATGCATTACCAATCATTGTAAAATCATAAATTCTATATGAATTATTCTTAGTTTCATAGAAAATAGCTTCAGCATATAAATTACCACCAGCTAAGCAAAAGAATGGTATAAAAAATGTTACAACACCATGCCATATACCATCTAGAATCCATAAAAGAATATACCATACTCTTAAATTTGCTTGATGGGATATCTAATTGAAAATGAAAAAGAATAATGAATAGAAATTGATTAAACTATAACAATATGAATTGTAAATAGATAGAATATTATGTCAACTTGATGCTCTATAGGTTAAGCATGAGGCAGATAGATAGTGGTTTGGAATCCCTTGAATGAGATCATGGATGCGAACTGATGAGGAGACATAAATTAGAACGAAACTACCTTCCAATGCTTCTAGGTTTTCTATAATGGTCTAACTTTAATCAACTCATGAATTCAACCATTATATTACTGAAATTCAAATAGAATTCCCTTCTGATAATAAACATCATATGCTCACTTGTGACTAGCTTCAATAGGTACTTCCTGGAGTTTTAGTGAGAATCTATGATCAATAGAGTTCAACCAGGTCTGTTGTGAGATACTAACTCACTGAAGACAATGGTGGATGTATGGCTCAATTTCATGAATTCTTTGAATTTAGACATTAACACCGTTGTATATCGGCCAGCTGAATGATCTACATTTAATCGTTCGCGTGTGAGACTAATAGGTCCTTAGTTAGAACCCTACAAAGCGGGATCATAGATGCTTACTTCTAAAGAATCCCATCAACACTATTCTATACCAATTGGTTCAATGCTTTAATAATTAAAGATTTGTTTACAAGATTGAAGTTCTTAAGTTCGAATCCCTTTATCTAATAAATTATGGTCGCACAATTTCATGGATTAGTTGATGTTAAACACTAACACTATTGAATACCAATTCAATGGTCCAGTAGGTTAATCGTTCGCGCGTGCGAGACTAATAGCTCTTGAGTTCGAATCTCGCAGAGCGGGATCATAGATACACATTGCTGAGGAGTCCCACAATGTGGCGAAACGGCCATTCAATACTTTCAGGTTTCTAACAATTAGTCTAACATTAATCAGTTGATGATCTTCACAATCTCTATACTTCATAAATGATCTTATGATATATATCTATATATATAAAAGAAAACGTATCATTTACTTACTTCTTTATATAAATATGGTTTATTCAATAGAATCTTTTCTTGAATATGACGTTCAAACATTCCATAACCTAAACTAACTAAAAATGTCATTGTTAAATTATAACAAATAAATAAAATGGTACCAAATAATGGAATATCTGAATAACCATTAAAATAAATTAAACATAATTGATTAGTTACAAATGCTACAGATTTATGATAAAAAAATAACATAGTTATTGTAATACGATAATATGACCAATGTCCATGTAACAAAAATAATCGTTGAATATGTCTATAAAAAAAAAGAAAAAAAGAAAAGAAAAGAAGGGTAAAGAATAATGAGAATGAAATAAAATGGGGTGGTGGGGGTGGTAGGAGGGTGGGGTTGCTGGGTTTCTATCTTTCTATAGATAGTAACGCTTACTAGGATTCATAGATCATGTATATATATATATATATATATTGTGAAGTGGTTCTATGACAAATACATTCAATACTTTCAAATGTTCTATAGTAGTCTAATATTGATCTATTCATGATATGAATGGAAATTTAATAATCTCTTAAACAATAAGAAGAAGATATAAGTTAAACTTCATCTTATTGTACAAGCAGGTGACTATAAGGAAACAGTAGCTATAGATGGATAATGCAATGATGTTTGAAGTGAACGATACTCAGTTCGAGTCCTAGAGTGAACATCAACTCCGAGATATGACAGGTACATTCAGCTGATAAGTGCCAGTTACGACGAAACGTGCGTCAAACTGGATTACACTTTTAACCACTATCCTACTTTGGTTACTATTCTTGTGACTTAAGGGGATATCGAGGCAATACATACAATATGCACATATACCAATTAGAGACTGATCAATTGCAATCTTAAGCATCAATGAGAAGTATCAAGTAAACAATACCAAATGAATTTAAACTTCATCCCATTGTACAAGCAAGTGACTATTAAAACTCAGTAGGTAAGTAGATAATGCTATGGCACTTGAATCGAAAGATATTGGGTTCGAGTCTTAGTATGAACATCAACAATTCTGAGATGCAGATATATTCAGCTGACGAGTCTTAAATAGAACGAATCTGAGCTTTCACCACAAACCATCATTATTCTTCTAGATGATGATCCTTGAAATCGCAGAGCAGAATTTAAATGGTGAAAATAAATTATTTTTTTCATCTTAGCATTTTTTTAACAAGGTCACTTCCTGTGGCATGACGGTGCTAATCCTATGTTCAAATCTCTATCTTTATCCTTTCATGAAACCTACAATAACCGTAGAAGGGCTCCAGATGAAGTTTTACATGAGATTTACAGAAGTGATTTTATTTGATTAATGCTCTAAGCCTATTCTAAATGGTTTCAATAATCTTACAAATAATATGCAAGCTTTTTCAGTGTTCCAGTCAAGTTCCAGTTGCAATAATTTATTCTGAAGATCGTGATCCTTTTTTGTTGGGGAGGGGGAAATATCAAATAAAGTTTAACTCTTGATACTTATTTAAAAGTTTTTGCTATTATCTATACTTTTATCGCATAACAATGAGATAATTTTACTGCCAGATTCTTTATATTGTAAGCTTTCAATGGATCTATGAACTATTGTAATACGATCTGGTATTCCTCATGTTGGGGAGATCTGAATTATTCCTCGAAAAATAAGCACAGAGGGGTCCTACATCTGATCGGTATTGAATAGACGTTTCTCAGAAACATCTAGGAAGTGAGATCATGGGCCACATTTTCGACTGGATGACTACATATCCTACTATTATGTTCAATAGGGTTTTAGAATCTTCCAGAATTTCAAGACCATCTTAAATGCTATAAATACTCTCAATTTTCTATAAATAAACTAACGCTGGAGTAAAGTGTTCCTTTCACATTTTGCGTTTTCTCTTTAGCGTTCAAGTTGTCATGTAGATTCAGTCTGGGGTTATTAGAAGAGATTAAGGAAACGACTTAAGCGTCCAGTTGAAAGATTTATCACCTAAATTACTGTTAGTTAATTTTGCACTATTTAGTTTGCTCTCTCATTTGTGCAGAGTGTGATTTCATATTCAGAGTGCATAGCAGCTTGAAAATTCCCGTAAAAATGATAATGAGTTTTCAGTTTGAGGTTGTAGAGACTGTTGAATTTCGTTGACATTATAAACCAATCAAAATTAGACCACCATTGAAGACCTGAGAGCACTAGACGGACGTTTATTCTACCATAGGGCTCAGCAGCGTGCTTCCACGATCTTGCACACGGTACCCGAGCCCAGGACCTTCGATCTCGGGCGTGAACGCTTAACCTCTAGACCACTGAACCGGTATCCAAAAGTGTTAATGTCTAATTTCAATTGATCCAGTAGAGTTCAATCATGTCTGTTGTGGGGCAATTATTCATTGAAGACAATGTTAGATGGTCGCACAATATCGTGGATCAAATTGAATTTACTAGTGTTCAATATAAAGTGCCATATTTCCTTAAATCAACTTAAGTTAATTATACCTCCGACACTTTTCAAAGATATCTCCAAATTATCACCCAGAATGTAGTCTCTTAGTAAAATCTGAGAACCATACAGTAAATACTTCATTTGCATAACGTCAGTCAATCGTCTTAAACTTTATTGTTCTTTCGTTTCCAAACCAATCATTCTCTTTTCTCCAATCTTCTTAACCTTCTGCCTCCAGATATTTCACTTTCGATTGATGATACATACTACTTATATCTATCAACATCAGTAGTACACCACAATTGTACAAAAATAAACAATTTGATTCATGTAAAAATCTTCATCCATAGTTTGTAACTTATGTCAGTACAATGTTCAGAGCTGAAACTTGGAGATCTACTTCCATAAATATCATCAAAAATGTAAAGGTACTTATGAACAATTGTCTATGCAAGATGCACAATGTCTTTTGACCGGATAGCATTGGCAACAACCTGCAGTGACAAAATACAAACTAGCATTCAGTTGAAGAGGAAATCAAGAACATATGTTGGTGGTAGACAAGCCACATATACACAGAGACCATCAAACAGTGTTTAGAACCAATATACCTATACAACTGTCAATTAGGGGTATCATAAATTAAATCAGAGTTGCTGAACATCCATTTTTCCCTAGTATGGAACTCCTAATCAGTGACCATCCATTACTCTGCTAGAGATCGAACCCAGGACTTAAATGGCTCTCAGTAAGAAATTAACGTTTAGTTCTCTGAGTTGGTATCCAATATTATTAGAATTCTTTAATTTAAGCATTAAATACTATACAGAAGCTTTAGTAGGACTACTCACCTGAACTGTGTCACTGAATAATCCGCGGCTCTAACTGCTTCACGACCTTCTTTTCCATAGACTCCAACACCAATATTAGCTTGTAAAATCATAGCTACATCATTACCACCATCACCAACTGCAGCTATAACTGGTTTCATACCATAACGTGTATGTTTCGCCAAACCAATTTGAACTAATTTAACAATAGATGCTTTTTGTAGTGGTGTCATACGACAACATAACACTGTTGTAACATTCATACATAATTCTAGAAATGCATCACGTACTGAGGTCTAACAAAAGAAATCAAGATAATGAAACAAATAATGTATTCAATCATAGTGTGTATGGATTAAACGTCACTTACGAAATGAATTCATACTAAATATAAGTATTAAGTATTACAATTCATTCGAATAGTAGATATTGTCATCTCGATTATACCTGCTCTATTGACAAGATGATCAGGTCTTCCCCTTTTTTGACTACTTAAACAACCTATACGGATCCGAAAATTTTTGTTCACCGAGGTCCTCTAATGCTAAACAGGTTAGTTGAAGAGTGGTAAGATAGAACTCGAGGGTGGAGTCCTACGATCATTTGAACTGGAGTTTGATAACAGTAAGGTATTTCCTTCTGGTAAGAAGCATCTTCAGTGATGTTTCATGCTCACAAAGGAAGGGAGAAGTTATAGTAGATCAAAATCTGGAAAATAGCACAACTCACCTTACCCTTACAGATTATTAGTGCTAGTGGTAAGTTCTAAAATGTAGAGAGTTAATGTGTTAAAATCCATTTGCATTAAAGGTCTTGTGACACTGGCCTCAATCAGCCGTCCTTTTGATTTTCACACTGACAGGGTAACAGACTTCATATTGTTTGTGTTACATCCTCAATTGACTAGTGTTTCACGGTCATTGTTCTACATTGAACTCTCTCAAATCAGAGCAAAGATAAGTAAACAACAGCAGACTCATTTGTAAAAACACAAGGGTTCACATAAAACTCAATAGAGAAAATTCTATAATAAACCACTAATAGGGATTTCTCAAAAATTAGCCAATTAGTGCATGTTGGCTTGAGCTTGCACTTAACATATAAGCATCAGGACTGTTTACTGACCGTAAAATCCATTAAGATAAAGTAAACTGAAGTGTTACAACCTTACAGAATTGGCTAAAGTTCACATTGTGGAGTCTTCTCTTAAAATCCTGAGAAATATATTATTATCAGAAAAGATTTTGTGGAGATTTTAGTAATTTCAATAGTTGAAATCATGAGTCGATTGAAGCTAGACCACCATGGAAAACCTGGAAGCACTGGATGGCCGTTTCGTCGTCGTATGGGACTCCTCAGCAGTGTGCATCCACGATCCCGCTCCCCACGTTATTCGAACCCAGGACCTATCAGTCTCGCGCGCGAGCACCTAACCACTAGACCACTGCTGAGGAGTCGCATACTAGGATGAAACGGCCGTCCAGTGCTTCCTAGTTTTCAATGGTGGTCTAGCTTCAATTGACTCATGATTTCAACTAGTGAAATCTATCATTGTCAAAACGGGGTTGAGATTATTGAATTTCATCAACATTATGGACGATTCTAGGCCAGACAGCTATTAAAAACCTGTAAGCATTGAACAGGCGTTTTGTTCTAGTATTGAACTCCTAAAGAGTGGCCATCCACCATCACACAACATAGAATATAACCCGGTTGAGTTAAATCACGTTGAATGTGCAGAAGGTTACCATAAAAGAGGATGGAACATTATCTTGCAATATCGTCGATTGAATGAATTTAGACTTGTACACCATTAAATTGTCTGAAGGCTAAGCGTTCTCGCGTAAGACCAATGGTCCTGGTTTTAATTCCCAGTTGGAGCATTATAGATGCAAAGTGCTGAGGAGTCCTATACTAGAATAAAACGGCCGTCCAAAGCTTGTAGGTTTCGATGGTTGCATAATCAATCCACGATTCCAATAAGTTTTTTTTATTGTTACAGACAATTTACTCAATATTTGCTTTATTTGGCATCATCAAATCAAACCTTTGTAGTGCTACTGTAATGAACGAGAACTCAGTTGGGAAAGACCAATTTATTAATTCATGCACAATTACAGGAATATCTCTGTAAACTATGAGAACCGTGCATATAATGCTTCATTTGCAAATCTTCCATCAATTGTCCTTCATATTCTGTGTAACGGAAAAAAACGCTGGAAATCCCTCCAAAGCATTATGTTGGACAATACTTTTATTTATTTATTTCTTTTCCCTGTCGTGTATTTTAACCTTTGTTGAAATCTCTTTTAACCACACCGTTTGTTCTTCAGTCTTCCTCGTCTGAGCTTTTATTATGTGATTTTGATTAAAGACTTACCTTTTGTTACCTAATTTTCTATTGCATGTTGTTGGACTATTGACAGTAAGGTCGTGTTTGACTAAGCTGAAGGTCACGGCGTGGTTCAGTGTGTGATTGTTAACCATTGACTGTCTGCTTGGGAAGATTGCTGAAATCCTTGCAGATAGATGTCGGATCCCTTTTTGTTGGGAATCTTTTTTATTGATTCCTAGGTACTGAACTCTTTTGTATTCACTGTTCCTTTTATTGTTTAGCATGCTAAACTTTTGATTGTATAGGATAGGCCGGACCGTTTGAGGTAGTTTGCATTTCTGATATAATTTGTTCTATTTTCTAAAGTAGAACCGTTTAAATTGAGCACAGAGTTTGTGTTCTGATATAATTTAATACGAGTAACTCAAAAACGTTTCGTACGCTATACAGAAGAAAGTAGTCTGGTCTAATCGAATAAAATATGGATTTGTTAGTTCTACGTTCAAACTGAATATTGGCAGTTCGGTAGTTACATTCCGTATGATCCTTCCAATTCATAATTTTTTTCTATTTTCATTACTATTTTTTCTCAACTTGAACTTTCTCGCCTTGTGTTGCTAGATTTTCTACTTCCGATTTGTGTGATATACTACTTATATCGGAAGGCATAAGTAGCATACACCATAATATTTAGAAATGAGTTCAATTATGCTTTAAAGATGAATCGAATAGCTTTTAGATAGTGATTTCAGTGTCATAAAGGATAGATTTAAAACAATAATCCCGACTATAAGTTGTGTAATGATGAATTTCAATTAAGATAACATTATTCAGCACTAAGAAGATAATGAATTACTCAAGAATACGGTTATATATGCTTATAGACATTAAATGATCACAAACGAAGAATGTGAAGTAGTGCTTTGATATAATGTATGTTGGTTGAAGAAGGCAGTACAAAGTGATCATTCCATTATTCGTTTTAAACTGACACTAAAACAGGTCGTGATTAATCGGTTGACAAATTAACTACATAATGAATATTGGGATGGTTAAATTCAGTTAAACACTCTTGTTTATTCACATTAATAGTTGTTTACTGGTTGACCATGAGATATCACGTGTGTATTAGTTTATGAATATGAATATAATAATAATAATTGTTTACTTAAATTATACAGCCACTGCCAGGGAAATCCTACTCACTTCCTTCTCGTGGCCAGACATTTATTTACGAAATTGAGAAAACGAAAAGCGAATGTCCAGCGATTTAATCGGACTGGTGGAAACGGAGGATCCACCTAGGGGAGTTGGAAAACCCTGATTCCAAACCAATGGAACGAGTGGCATATGAACCTATTGTTGGTCATCGGCTACCATGGGACTGTATCTCCTGACGTTGCGCCACTGCCTTGTGGATCCAAATCTTTAGGTCGAAGGCTCCAGGTGTGACCCCATAAGGAAACCACCTGCTTCGATCTGGACATCCAGGTAGTACCACAGCCCACACACAAATCCAGTGACTTGTGTGGCGCATATATATTCTGTGCCCCTTTTTACCAATATTTCTGTGTTCAAATAAACAAATAAATAAACTTATCATGATGAATTTTCTCTACAACTCGGTCAATCATGTAATATCATTCCCTATAGATGATACTGATATCTAATAAGTGCATCATCTAATTGGAAATTCTGTATAATATAAACTTATGATCGTACAATAACTTATAAGAAGCTTTGCTCTGAAGCGGTTATTACAACTAACATTGTCTACGGTTTGTTGCTTCTTGCTTTATCGATCCAATTTTGAACTAAATTCTTATATGCATCACAATTTTTATTACTGAATACTTCAGAAATAACTGTCCCTCCGAATAGTTCCCAGGTAAAGAATAGAAAAGTGACATACATAATAAAGTCAACTGTAATCAAGTAATTATCAATGATAAGTTGATGTATGAATAAATTCCAACTCGTAGTACAATGAAGAAGAGTTATTCGAATACCTAATAAAGAGAGACTGTTATATATGCACAAGAACAGTGGAAAACATAAATAGATTTTCGGTGCAGTGGTAATGGATATGTATATCTGCCTTATATTTTCTAATTGTCAATGAATCTTCAGTTAATGAAAATCTGTAGTGGAAAATGAGTGTAAACAAATATTCCTGTTCAATTACTCAGAAACCCCCAAAATCCTTAGTACGGTCGATTGTAGGGAGAATTCTCTCTACCACTGCAAATGCTCTCACATAGCCACGTGTATACAGGTACTATTATGGAATTCCTACTCACTTCATTCTCGCGGCATTACTGTTGTAAACGAAATTGAGTGGACGAAAAGTGAATTTCCGATGCTTTAAGTGGATTAATACATACAAAGGGCCTACCTAGAGAAGTTAAGAAAGCCTAATTCCAAACCATTAGTCCACATAGGCTCCAAGATCTGTTGCCCGTAGATCTGACTCCTATTTAGATCGTATAGATGTTTGCTATCGCCTATTCTCGTATATCATCGTCGACTTGAGTCGCGTTAGTCAATAACGGAATTAAATAAGTCGAATAACGAGAATCGACTTGTGAATACGTATATCTTGTACACGAAGCGAATGAAACAGAGCAAAGCAAAATGACACGCAGGGAAGATGGCTGGGAAGCCAACTCCACTTTAGTCAAGCGTTACTCAATATTTATAGTCAGACAAAATAAAGCTACAGACATGTGATTAATGGAATAAGAAGGGCACACACATATACGCTCATATAAAAACAGTCTAGATTGATAAGCGAATAAATAACAAGGTCAATGTATGGCTCAAGTGAAATGAATAGAATGGGATGTCCGAAAGCTCGAATAAGGTATATGGGCTTGGCACAATAACTGACACTACAGATCCTGATTGAACAAATGGTATATGAACCAATTGTTGATCATCGGCTACCATGAGACTGTATCTCCTAACACTAGTTCACTCCTTATGAATTAGACCTTTAGATCGAAGGCTGCAAGTCTGACTCCCTAAGATAATCACCTTCTTCGATCTGAGCAGCTGAACAGTATCACAGTATGAAGTGACTTGTGTAGTGCATATGCATTCTGTGCCTCCATTCTACCAATCTTTCTATATTCAAATAAACAAACAACTAAATAAATGTAAACAGAAAAATATCATTAAAACAAATTACTTACATGCAATGCATATTGTAAACTTTTTCCATCAATAACAAGACCAATTGATTCATTTGCCATACCAGGATGCTTTTTATGCTTTCGTCTTATATATCGACTAATTATACAACCTTTCTTATTGAAGATGAATTCATTTGAATCATAATAATAAACATCATTATTATTACTATTACCATTACTATTAGTATTATTATTGTATGGTCCATCCATATATGAAGATGGTCTTGAAGTGGATGATGATGATGATGATGATGATGATGAGGAGGAGGAGGAGGATATATGAAATGAATTTCTGTTATAATTTATTGTTTTAATTCTTGACATTGTTAATATAGAATGATGATTAGGTTTTTGTTTATGATCATTATGATATGAATATAATGCATCTAATTGTTCATAAATTTTATATGCTGTTGATTGTAATGTTTGACAATTCATTATTCTTATTAATGACATATTCAATGTAAAATGTCCAATAGATTGACTTACTGTAATTGCTGTTTCAGCTTTATCACCGGTTAATATCCATATCTAGAGAAATAATAAAAAAAAGAGTTAGATGTTGAAAGAGTTTTGTGAAGATTTAAACTAGATCACTATTGAAAACCTAGAAGTAGTGGAATCCAGGACATGCGTTTCGTCCTATTTCGGACTCGTCAACCAGATGTACTTGCATCTCAGAGTTGATGTTCATTCTGGGACTCGGACCCAGTATCATTGCCTTCAAACGCCATCGCGTTATCCATCATTGCTTACAAAAATCTTGTGAATGAAGGCACTATCGAGACATACACACAATATGCACATATGCCAATAACAGATTGATCAGTTGCAGTCTTAAACCTCAATGGGAAAATACAAGCCAAACGATACCAAGTGTAGTGAATAGTTGTTATGTCTTAGTATGAGATTAGAGATTAAGTGTTCACATGCGAAACTGAAGATCTTGAGTTCAAGTCCCTTATACGAGATCATAGAGACGTTTTGGTGGAGTTTTGTTCTCTGAGCTGGATGGTTTGGTCGTGGAGCTTTCATCGTTCTCCTGAACAACATCATCAGCACAAACTTCAGATAGAAGTGAAGTGTTCGAATTTCTCCATATGTGTTTCACAGCTTGTTCTGTGCACCTCGATGTTGATTGGTTCTTGTTGACCTTAAATTTATCATTGTTTACTTCTTTGTTTTGGTTGTGTCTCCCATTGGTTTGATTTTTGTTCCTATATTTATGCATGATTTTCCTGATTGGTTGATAAATTGGATTGATTTCAATGTGTTTGTTGATTGCTGATTGACCTGAGTGCCAAGCTTCATAGAGACGTACTGTTGAAAAGTCCCATATTACGATGAAACAACTATACAGTGCTTCCAGGTTTTCCATGGTTGTCTAGCTTCAATTGACTTATGATTTCCATTAAACCCATTCTGATAATATGAAATTGTTGACTTGAATCAGTTTATAAGTGAAATGAAATTGTGAGATAAATAATGATCAGAATAAATATGGTCAACATGGAGTGAGTGACAGAGGGAGAGGATAATGGAACTACAAATCAGAAGTTACATAATATGTAAAATAATATGAATTAGGTCAGATATAATAGATAGGGGTGGATGCTAAATAAATTTCTCAAAAAAGTTATCAAGTGTAATAATAATCTCCCATTGGGGGATACAACCGAAACAAAGAAGTAAATAATAACAGCTTTAAAGTCGACAAGAACCAATCAACATCAAGGTGTACAGGACAAGCTTAAAACCACAAATGGAGAAATTCGAATACTTCACTTCTACTTGAAGTCTGTACTGATGATGTCGTTCAGAAGAACGATGAAAGCTCCTTGACTAAACCATCCAGCTTAAAGAACAAAACTCCATCAGAAACATAAAATGAACAATAATCAAATTACATTATCATATTATAAAATTGATTAGTAACTAGTTGGCCTCGAAGTTGGCTAAGGTAAAAGGAGCAGCTGAACATATTTCTTTTAGATTCAAAGCTCTAGCTTTTCTATCCGAATAGTAATCGCTTCAGACGTCTGCAAGATCTAGTCCCGACCTCTGACCAAGAACTTGAACGTTTGAAATCAAACCTAATTGACTACTGCTATCAGTTTAACAATAGTAGATATAACTACAGAAGTATATTAACTAAAAAAACACAAAGAGGCCATCAATGAATTGATTAATGACGAAAATCTAATTTTCACAAAACCTGATAATGGAACAGGAAATGTCCCACTTAACAAAATAGACTATATTGACAAGCTGAATAACATCTTGAATGATCACCAAAATCTTCAGAAACTGAATAACCAAAAAGATATCAATAATAAGATAGAGCATGAACTGAACAGATCTTTAAAAAAGCTCAGAGATCAACAGATGATTCCACCAAGCATATACGAAACAATTAAGCCGATAGGTACACATTTACCTAGGTTACATGGACTGTCGAATGTACATAAACCGGATATTCCATTAAGACCAATTTTGGACATGTATGATTCCCCATATCATACTGTAGCAAAGTGGCTAGTAACCGTTTTGAAACCACTCCACAAACACCTAGTGAAGCATAGTATTAAGGATGTATTCCAATTCGTTGGCAAGATTGAAAACGTAAACACGAAAGGTCAAACGATGGTGTCTTTTGACGTAACGTCATTGTTCACAAATGTTCCACTCAGAGAAACTGTAGAATACATTTGTGAACAACTTAGAGAACATGAACTAGAAATGACAATCCCTGTGGAGGTCATCAAAGAATTATTTGCAAAATGTACTATGAATGTACATTTCAAATTCAATGCTGAAATCTATAGACATATTGATGGTGTTGCGATGGGTTCACCCCTAGGTACTATATTAGCTGACATTTTCCTCTCTGAACTAGAAAACGACCCACTGGCACAAGAGATCGGCAATTTTTCATTTTACTGCCGATATATAGATGATACATTTATCCTTTGTAACAATTATACGGACTTCATAGAAACACTCTAGCGTTTCAATACTGTTCACCTGTCCATAAAATTCACATGTGAGAACGAAAATATGGGTAGAATAGCCTTCCTAGATGTTCTATAGACAAGAAGAAAAGACGGGTCACTAAAAAGAAACATAAACAAGAAAACGAATCGGACGGGCCAATATAAAAACTTTCTTAGTATTGTTCCTCTACAATACAAAAGGAACCTTATTATGACACTGCATCATAGAATCAAGACTATATGCTCTCTAGATACGGTGGAAGATGAAACAAAGGCATTATACACAACCCTGAAAGAAAATGGATATCCCGAGAAATTTATAAACAGCAACATAGCCAATAAAAGAGGGCATAGAGAATGTTTACCCGTGAATAAAAAGCCTCTGTATATACGCTTACAATTCAGAGGCTATGTATCGAATGAAATGTTAAGGCTAAAGTAAAGTAGATCAATTCAAAGGAATTTTAATTCAGATAAACTACAACTAGTGTTTTCCACAGGTCCAATAATCACTCCAAGGTTGGAAGATAAAGTTCCTAGATTAACCACCTCTTTAAGTGTCTGCAAGATTCTCAGTCTGACAGAATTACATAGACTGTTGTTCACATGATATACTATTGCGAAAGTTTGCTCTATATTGGTTGTATATCTCGTCTGAATTAAATGGGTTAAAATGGAACTGTTAACCATATTAACTACACCTTTGTTTAATATATTGTTACAATCTGAAAGTAACTAATCTGATGAGGTAAGATTAAGTTTAATTGTGAATGATCAATAATCGGCATAGCAACAAACATTTCTTAATGATATTCATTATTATCAGAAGGTGCTTTGTGGAGATCTTAGAAATTTCATTGATTGAAATAATGAGTCAATTGAAGCTAGGCCGACATGGAAAACCTGGAAGCACTGGACGGACGTTTCGTCCTAGTATGGGACTGGTTGAAGTTAGACATTAACACCGTTGGACGCCGGCTCAATGGTTTAGTTGGTTAAACACCTGGTGCGAGACTGACAGGTCCTGGGTTCGAGTCTCGCGGAGTGTGGGATCGTGGATGCGCATTGCTGAGGAGTCCCACAGTAGGAAAAAACGGCCGTCCAGTGCTTCCAGGTTTCCCAAGGTTGTTTAGCTTCAAATGACTCATGATTTCAATCAATGAAAGATACTCATTATATTTATACTAAACTTACTTGTATTCCAGCTTCTTTTAAAGCTTTTATACAATTTTTTACACCAGGTTGTAATTTATCTTCTATACCAGTAACATATATTGGTATCATATCATATTCAATTTCATTATAACATTGTTTTAATGCATGAATACGTTCATTATCGCATAGACTAGAGGCATATTTGAACTGTTCTAGTAATTTCATATAAATAGATTTATGTAATCTACGTTTAGCAAATACAAGTGTACGTAAACCATGAATTGCATATTCATTGACATAATGAATAGCACGTGAACGTAGATAACCAGATGTAGTACTGCATCTCTTTGATAAATAAAGGAAAAAAACAAAGAGAAATTTTCTTATTAGATAGATAATGTATGATTTATGGATGTAAATAACTTACTTACTTACGCCGGTTACTCACAATGGAGCATAGGCCGCCAACAACCATTCTACAATCCATTCTGTCCTCGGCCTTCCTTTCTAGTTCTATACAATTCTTGTTCATTCTTCTCATGTCTGTCTACATTTCTCGGTCCAATGTGTTCTTTGGTCTTCCTCTTCTCCTTTGACCTTGAGGATTTCGCGTGAAGGCTTGTCTTGTGACTCAGTTGGATGCTTTCCTCAATGGTGTCCTATCCACTTGGAGCACTTCTTCCTGATTTCTTTCTCCTCTGAAATCTTGTTCTTTCCCACGGCAGGTCGTTGCTGATAGTGTCTGACCAACGAATCCAAAGTATTTTGCATAGACAACTGTTAATAAACACCTGTATCTTCTGGATGATGGCTTTCATAGTTCTCCAGATTTCCACAGCATATAATAGAACTGTCTTGACATTTGTATTAAAAATTCTAACTTTGATGTTGGTTGAAAGAGAGTTGTTTTGAGTTCCAGATGTTCTTTAATTTTAGATATGCGACTCTTGCTATGTCATTTCGCGCCTTTACATATGCATCAGATCCACCGTGTTCATCATTGATGCTGACCAGATATGTAAAGGGTTTATTAAGCAGAAAGATAAAGATCATACTCTATCACTGATAAATTTTTTTCATGATAGTTAGTATATGCTATGTTTCAAGAAACTCCGCCTGTAGCTCTTATAGGGTTGCTGCCGGTCCCAAGCCCGGGTAAAGGAGGAGGGTTGGGCATGGGGTTAGCGTCCCCATCCCGTAGAAAACTAACTCGCTAAAAAAACGCTTACCAGAAAAAATAATCCAAACCATTTTAACTCTGCCCTGGGAGTTAGAAGGTCTTCATTTAGAAGAATTATGACGCTTCATGGTGAAAGCCGAGTTCCTTCGGAAGCCACGAGGCCGATGCCCCTTCTAACAACCAGAGCAAAAATTTTTATAGGTACATGGAACGTTCGAACAATGTGGGAAACCGGGAAGACCAGTCAAATATCAATGGAAATGAGGAGATACAACTTAGCAGTACTGGGAATCAGCGAAACCCACTGGACCCAAGCTGGACAGAAAAGGCTAGCTACGGGAGAGATGCTGCTATACTCCGGTCACGAAGAGGACAATGCTCCACACACTCAGGGAGTCGCTCTTATGCTGTCCAAAGTAGCACGAAATGCACTTGTAGGATGGGAATCTCATGGATCCAGAATCATCAAAGCATCATTCAAAACAAAGAAGGAGGGGATCTTAATGAATATTATCCAATGTTATGCACCCACCAATGATAGCAACGACGAAATTAAAGATCAGTTCTACGAGCGGCTGCAGTCAGTGATAGAGAAATGCCCAAAAAAGGACCTCACCATTCTAATGGGAGATCTAAATGCCAAAGTCGGAATAGACAACACTGGATATGAAGATATTATGGGACGACATGGACTGGGAGGAAGAAACGAAAATGGAGAAAGATTTGCAAATCTATGCGCATTCAACAAATTGGTCATAGGAGGCACAATATTTCCACACAAGCGTATACACAAGGCTACATGGATCTCACCGGACCACACTACAGAGAACCAAATAGATCATATTTGCATCAACAAAAAATTCCGAAGGACAATGGAAGATGTGAGAACCAGGAGAGGTGCTGACGTAGCTTCAGATCACCACCTAGTTGTAGCCAATTTGAAACTGAAGCTAAAAAAGAACTGGACAAGTGGACAAACAGCAATACAAAGGTTCAATACAGCCTTCCTTCGAGATACTGTCAAACTCAATGAATTCAAGATAGCTCTCAACAACAGGTTCCAAGCCTTACGAGATCTACTGAAAGAAGAAGAAACTACTATGGAGGACAACTGGAAAGGCATCAAGGAAGCATTAACTTCAACGTGTCAAGAGGTTCTCGGTCTGAAAAAATACCATCATAAGGAATGGATCTCTACAGAAACAGTGGACAAGATCAAAGAAAGGAAGAACAAGAAGGCAGCAATAAACAACAGCCGAACACGAGCAGAGAAAGTCCAAGCACAAGCTGAATACATAGAAGCAAACAAACAAGTGAAGAGGAGCATTAGAGCCGACAAGAAGAAATACGTGGAAGAACTAGCAACGACGGCAGAAAAAGCTGCTAGAGAAGGAAACATGAAACAGCTTTACGATACAACGAAGAAACTATCAGGGAAATACAGTAAACCAGAGAGGCCGATCAAAGACAAAGAAGGCAAGCCAATCACCGAAATTCAACAACAGCGTAACAGATGGGTAGAATACTTCGAAGAGCTCCTGAATAGGCCGGCTCCAATGAATCCACCGAACATCGAAGCAGCACACATAGATCTTCCTATAGATGTCAATCCACCAACTACGGAAGAAATTAGAATGGCCGTCAGACAAATCAAGAACGGGAAAGCAGCAGGACCCGACAACATACCAGCTGAAGCACTGAAATCAGACATCGAAACAACCACAAGCATGCTTTATCTTCTATTCAAAAAGATTTGGGAGGAGGAACAAGTGCCGATGGACTGGAAAGAAGGACACCTCGTCAAGATTCCAAAGAAAGGAGATCTGAGCAAATGTGAAAACTACAGAGGCATAACACTACTGTCAATACCAGGGAAAGTCTTCAACAGAGTGTTGCTGAACCGGATGAAGGATGCAGTAGACGCCCAACTTCGAGATCAACAAGCTGGATTCCGTAAGGATCGGTCGTGCACAGACCAAATTGCAACACTACGGATCATCGTCGAACAATCAGTTGAGTGGAACTCATCATTATACATCAACTTCATTGATTATGAAAAGGCATTCGACAGTGTAGACAGGAGGACGTTATGGAAACTTCTTCGACACTACGGAATTCCTGAGAAGATTGTCAATATAATCCAGAACTCATACGACGGACTACAGTGCAAAGTAGTGCATGGAGGACAGCTGACAGATGCATTCCAAGTAAGGACCGGAGTCAGACAAGGCTGTTTACTCTCTCCCTTCCTCTTTCTTCTGGTGGTCGACTGGATTATGAAGACCTCGACATCTGAAGGAAAACACGGAATACAATGGACAGCTCAGAATCAATTAGACGATTTGGACTTCGCAGATGACCTAGCCCTCCTATCACGTACACACGAACAGATGCAGATGAAGACAGCCAGTGTAGCAGCAGTCTCTGCATCAGTAGGCCTCAGCATACACAAAGGAAAAACTAAGGTCCTCAAATTCAAAGCGGAGAACAGCAATCCAATCACTCTTGATGGCGAAACTCTGGAAGATGTAGAATCCTTCACATATCTGGGAAGCATCATCGATGAACAAGGAGGCTCAGATGCAGACGTAAAGGCGAGGATCGGCAAAGCAAGGGTCGCATTCCTACAATTGAAGAACATATGGAACTCAAAACAACTTTCAACCAATATCAAAGTGAGAATCTTCAATACGAACGTCAAGGCAGTTCTACTGTATGGAGCTGAAACTTGGAGAACTACAACAACCACAATCAAGAAAGTACAAGTATTTATAAATAGCTGTCTACGCAAGATACTCAACATCCATTGGCCGGATACCATCAGCAATAGCCTTCTGTGGGAGAGAACAAACCAACTTCCAGCTGAAGAAGAAATTAGGAAAAGACGATGGAAATGGATAGGACATACATTACGCAAATCGTCAAACTGCATCACGAGGCAAGCCCTAACTTGGAATCCTGAGGGGAAGCGAAAAAGAGGAAGGCCAAAGAACACATTGCGTCGGATAATAGAAGCAGATATGAAAAGGATGAATTACAACTGGACGGAGCTAGAAAGGATTGTTGAGGACAGGGTTGGATGGAGAACGCTGGTGAGCGGCCTATGCTCCTTCACGAGGAGTAACAGGCGTAAGTAAGTAAGTAAGTAAGTATGTTTCAAGAGATTACGAGTTCACTTAATCTACGAATGGAACAAAAACTGAGTGACATAATGTCTAAACAAGCTAACTATTTCAATGCGTCCCGGCCACGCAAATTAGGGAAAGAAGTTCAGGTTCAGAAGAGGGAAATGTATTCCACGAGCAGCCGTAAGTACAAACAATGACAAGCAAACTTCAAACGTATATATACAGCATAAAAATGTCCTTGGGAAACGATACAAAATAGCATATGAAAAGAGACAACGAACCAATGCCATTTAAGGTCCTCACAAATGGGAAATACGACATGAAGATGAAAATAGAAGCTTTAGAAGCAAAGACAAGAAATTCAAATTTCCAAAATAAAATTACAAAAATATGACATTTACCAAGTGATTTCTGGAGATCTAGCATCCCTAATATTATGACACACGAATATCAAGAATGTATGTACGTTTGAGTGAATGTGTTGGGATATTCACGAAAATATCCCAAAAATTATCCTGTTAAGCCTAATGCTATCCTTGGATATGAAATGGTATCATCTTATTGGTCAATATTTATTTGACGTGTTATTTTCCTGTTGGCCATTATTGTACAATGTTATCTTCTATTTTATGGTACGTTGTGGACTGCTTGAATGGTATATAAACAAAGCATGTTTGAAATATAATGATTCATAAATCCGAGGCTGAGACTTGTGTTCTGGACTCAATTGACTGGGCTAGACAGGGAAGCGAGACCAATCAGAACCCTAGGTCGTTCTACGTGTTTGCGCGTCTTTGGTCCGATCAATAATTCGCTACCCTTAATCAGCATTATTTTCACGTTATAACAGAATGATTCGTGAACACTCATTGGCGTAGCTAAAACAGGTGATCCATGTTGTTGGTTGTCAATTATTCTTCTGAAGCTGATGTTTATTTATTTATTGGAACACATAAATATTGGTACAAAGGGGCACTGAATACATATGTGCCACATAAATCATTCAACTTATGTGAGGGCTGCCAAACTGCCCTGGTTCTCAGACCGAATCAGGTTTTCTTAGGGGGCCACATCCATAGCCTTCGATCTAAAGGTCTGATCCATATTGCAGTAGAGAAGCGTGAGGAGATGCATTTCTGTGGTGGTCGGTAACCAACAATATGTTCATACACCATTCGTTCCCTCAAGATCTTGGAACCCTTGTGCACCACTGGTTTGGAACCAGAGTATCCCAACTCTCTTAGGTAGATCCCTCGTATCTACCGATCTGGTTAAATTGCCGGACATCCGCTTTACGTCCTTTCAATTTTGTAAACAACATTAATGCTGCGAGAATGCAGTGAGTAGGACTTTTCTGGCAGTGGTTATGTGTACGTGGCTATGTGAGAGCATTTGGGGGCTGATATAAAATCTTGATGGTAAATTGATCTTAAAGTGTATTATCAGTGCATATTCTACCGAGTGCTAAGGTTACTAGATCAGCAATGCAATGAATTTCGCTTCTAAGAATTTGTAAACAAATAATGGTACCGGTGAAAGTCATTTGAATCTTCTATTTGTTTTTGTTAAGGTCTGCAATTTCCCAATATCTATTTAAATGTATGAATCTTGTTTATTTTCAATAAATCAGAGCAAAATCCGTATATCCCAAAACAGGCCGATCAATTGCAGTCCTTAACATCAACAGAAAGAAGATTTAAACGGACATTATGAGTGAATTTGGAATTCAACCCGTTACACACATCTCTGCTTCTCTGGACGTAGTAACGCTGTATATAACGCTTCGGTATTTAAAGCAGAAACTACTGGGTCCGAGTCCCAGTGGTAACTTTAACATAGGTGTAGATACATCCAGACAATGGGTCTAAAACAGGATAAAAACGTGCATCTTGAACTCCACTTTGAGCTACTATCTAACTCTGCTGAAGAGTAAATGATTGGTTCTAATGGCTATGCATTTATTATGATACCTCAAGAACTTGGGGTTGTTCTCTAGTAGGATTGTCGACGAGCGGTCTTGATTCTCATACCCGGACTGAACAGCTGTTCATTAATTCTTGGTTCTTAAAGATACTCGAACTAAGATCAATTTATGATAAATATAACATATAGACATAGTACTTAGTTATCAGAACGGAAATAAGTAGGTACTATTGTTCACAGTTTCAATAAGGTTCTTTCAGTAACTGTGAAGATTCCTATTCCGACATTATGGTATTTCAAAGTTTACAAAAGATGAACGTATGATCTTTAAAAAGATACCTTATTATCATATAATATTAATACATTGGTTGAAAAGTGGTAACTATCATAAGTCATTACATTATTGAATTCAGCTAAGATTATGGTACATTCTCTTAAATGTCTACCCTTAAGTAAGATAACATACATATTCACAATTATAGTACTAATCACATATAAGTAATGAGTACTTTTATTTAAGAGTAAGCAGATATCTAAAAGTACTTTTAACGGTCTCGAAGAAGGTTGTAGGTTCCAACTCTACTATTGGAATGTCGTATAAAACCGAAACCACTGTTCAGGACTTAACATATCTTCATAATATTGCTTTAAGTGATGTTACTTTATTATAAAACTATTAACATACTAGGAATATAGATAATAATAGATAAAGTGAAATTACCTCAGGGTCTAAAATTGCAGTTTCTGCTCCTTTACTCAATACACAACACGTTCCATCAGGATAACGTACCATAACACTCATACATTTACGTGTTGGATCAAATTCCAATACGGCATCAACAATATAACATTGACGATCAATAAACTTTTCATTATTTGACTCTTTTATTCCTGTTGATGAATATGACCAATAATCAATATACAATTTATATGAACCAGTCTCATTGAAATCAGGTTCTTTGCCTGAAAATACAACACCAAGTTTTGAAGCACCTTCAACTAATGCTTTCTCATCAGGTGATGTTGCCTTAAAATTGAAAAAAAGATAAAGAAGAGAGTGATTTTATGGATATTATAGTAATCTAATAGTTGAATTCATGAGTTGATTAAAGCTAGACCACGATGGAAAACCTGGAAGCAATGGACGGCCGTTTCATCCTATTGTGGGACTCCATGAGCCCACTTGCGTAATTTGAACCCAGTGCTTGGCAGTCTTGCACGCGAGCACTTAACCTCTAGACCGCTGAGCAGACATCCAACTGTGTTAATGTAATTTGAATTATAATGAAGCAGTCGGCAATAGTACACAAAGTTTTAATCTGATGTGAATAGTGAACGAAAGTACCAGTTGGGACAACCGAATGCATTTGAGCATTAAATTACAGAATCACTTAGTAAGATCTCAGAAACATACAGTAATTAATTCATTTGCAAAATGTCAGTCAATCGTCTCAGACTTTATTGTTCTTTCATTTCCATGCCAATCATTCACTGTTCTCGTTCCCTTTTATTCGATCTGCTTAACCTTATACTGCCGGGCATTTCACTTTCGATTGACGATACATACTATTTATATCTGTCAACATTAGTAGCATACACTACATTATAACTGAAATAATCAAACAATTCTTGTGTATTAATGAAATTTTGTAAAATGTTTTCACAATTTCATTGATAGGATGATAGATTATAAAATATGTTAATATGAAGGTGATTTTAACCAAATGCATTCATCGAGTACTAACCAACCTTGTGTAGGTCTTTTTCTCATGGGTAGCCGAATTCTATCAACTAAGGTGAAAAATAGCTACTTATCTGAGTAACTTCATACTGTGTGCATAATTGTTTGACAATAATTGTAAAACAAAAAGTACCAGAAAGCTGTTTCATATTAGTTTGGAACTGTTTAACAATGTCAATCGACTATTGCATCAGACGGTCAGTTCCAGAACATTGACGGTTAATAGTGAGCTCTTAACATTCAGATTAAAGTTGCATTTCACTGGTTTACATTTCTAACTACTGTATAATTACAAAACCTTATTTATTTTCAGAAAGGAGGTTTTGTGGAGATTGTAGGAATTTAAAAGCTGCATTCATGAGTCAATTAAAACTACATCACTATAGAAAACCTAGAATCACTGGACGGCCGTTTCGTCCTACTGTGGTATTCCTCAGCAGTGCATATCCACGACTCTGTTGTGAGACAGTAACTCACTGAAGACAGTGGTAGACAGTGGCATAATTTCGTGTATCGATTGAAATCAGACATTAACATTGCTGAATTTCGGCTCAGTGGTCTGGAGTTGAAGCGAGACAGAAGATCCTGGGTTCGAACCTCGAGGGTGGGGCAGTCTCATACTAGAAGGAAACGGCCGTTCAATGCTTCTAAATGTTTTTTTATTAATTTCTATTCATAGATATCTTCTACAGGGCAAATTGGGAAATCCAAGTCTTGTTATATTGGCACAATAATGACACAATATTCTTTTTCAGTAGCAGTTGTTATTCGATGATAATCTCAATTGAAAAGTGAAATATTCACTTCATACAAATGGGTTATAAATAATTATTTAAGTAGTTTACAGCTTACTAATATTGGTAATTTAAATGTAAACACTCAATATTTGCTATGATAGTGGCTCCGAGGTCTGACTTCAATTAGATTATATGTTGATCTATATTGAAATATGTATAACATCAATCCTCTTTATATAATCATTGACTTCACTCGAATTAGCCTAGAACGTAATGGATATTCGAATACGTTTACTTTCTATAATTGTTGATTGGAAGAAACAATTAGAGAATCGCGACGAATGAAGCAAAGAAGAGAAAGAGAAACAAAACGAAATGGCACACAGTGGAGAAAGCATGCTGGCCAACTCGATTTCATCAAGCGGTTAATCAATATTTATAACCAGATAAAAATAAGTTACAGAGAATTTGATGAATAGGATAGGAAGTATACACATATTTATGCTCATATAGAACTAGCCAAAATTAATAAGCAAATAATTAACAAGATGAAAATATGACTCCAAGAGAATGAAAAAATTAGCTTCTGGATACTGAAGGAACATATGGTGTATAGACCTATTATTGGTTACTGTGAATGAATGGTAACTTTTGGGTTCCATTTATAGACCAATACTATGCATATATTCTTATCGTATAGTTGTTAAGTAACTAAACTATACATATTCATGTCTCTCTTATCATAAGCTTTATTTTGACCTATGAAGTATTATTATACGACTTACCATTCTTGAATTATGTTCTGTCTATTAGTCACTACCTCGCTGATTCACAGGCACTTTTGACTAAATCTTGTACAAATGTTGTTTCTTATTTTATGGTATGTTGTGGTCTGTTTGATTGGTATATAAACGCAGTATGCTCGAAATACATGATTCATATCGCAGAGGCTGAGATTGGTGTTCTGGACTTAACTGGCTGGGCTAGGCAGAAAGCAGGACGAATCAGGACTCTAGGCTGCTCACACGTGTTTTATGTGTTACTGGTTTGATCGATAATTCACTTCTCTCTAATTGGCGGTATCATCACGTTATACATGAACAGGACACACAAGCCACAAGTTATAACCGTTACCGACTATTATGGAACTTCATCTCTTTTAACATTACTCCACTACTTTGTGGTTAAAGATTCCGGGTATGACCCTGTAAGTAAACCACCTGGACATTATCTTAACCGACATACAAATCGAATATGACATATAATATCTAATTTATCTTAGACTTACTTCATATTCATAAAATCTACATGGTTCATCAGTATTCATTGATGATTCTTGTACATTATTATTATCATTATTATTATTATTACTAACCATTTGAGTATGATTTTTTAATTCAACAGTATGACATAATGATATGATAGTTAAAAATTCACGAAACTTTTCATTCATCTCTAATAATTTCAAAGATGAATTCAACACATTATAAGTAGTTAATTCAGTAGTATTATTATGATGATCATCATCCTGATCCTGATCCTGATCCTTATAAAATTGATATAATTGTTCATTAGATAATAAACAACATGATTTTAATCTCATTAAATTTTGTGTTAATGTTCCAGTTTTATCACAAAATAAAAATTCAATCTGACCTAATTCATCGGATAATTGTGAATTATTTGCATAACTTTTAATATTCTCTACTGAATTATACATAGTAATATCATTCGATATAAAATAAGCTAATAGTAATTGTTGAAATTCTGTAGTGACTATAATCGAAATTGGTATTAAATAATTAATAATAAATAAATAACGAAATATACTACGAATAAATTGCCATATTGTTAATAATTCAAATGTAATATACCATATTTTATTGATATTTTGTTTTATCCATATAGTTGATATGATAGTAACAATAAATGTGATAGTTACCATGGCAACCATAAACATTAATAAAATAATATTAGATAATCTTTCACGTGTACTATATTTTCTTTGTGAATTTTTACTATTTAATGATAATTTTGTATCTTTACCAGTATAAATAACTAAACCAATTATATAATCTGTAGATATTAATTTAGATCCACGTAATACTAAATTTTTCCTATTCAATGGTAAATATGTTCCACTACCACCTTCACCTTCACCCTCACCCTCATCACCACCACCATCATTATCATGATGATGATTTAAATGTTGAGCGGTTTCATAATGACCTTGAAAGGTCATCAAATTCTCATTGGGTTGTTGACAGATCACATGTAAATATAATTGTTCAATGATAAATTGAAAATTGAATTGTTTTAAATGTGTTTCAATTAAATGATTATTTGAATATTGTGAATAAATTGATTGATATTGAATTAATGAATAATATTGTTTAATGGTTGTTTCACCATCTAAATTCATTGTAGTAATATTAACTTGTCCATTATTATTAGATGAATATAATAATAATAAATCACATGGAAATGATTGATTATTTTGACAATAAATTACATCACCAACTAATAATAAAGAAGATTTTTTCAAGATCCAATTTATTGATTTTCGATGAAAATCAATTGTTAATACATAATATTCAATTGAATTTAATTGTTGATCAAAATGATAACGTAATAAATCATCTAAACCATCTTTAATCATTGTTACACTAAGGATAACAATTAATGGGATAATAGTGACTGAGGCATACCCACTGTCATCCACAAAAAAATAAGTAATAATAATCAATAAAAAATAAATATTTGCTACATTATGAAATTGTTCATAGAGATTTTTATAAAAAAAATTATACCATTTATAATGTGTTGAATGGATATGATTATTACAATAATTATGATGATATGGTTCACCACTGAAATTCTTATAATGATGAGCATATATTGTACGAGTGGTGGATGAATAATGATTATCAGTAGTATAATGTTTCTTATGAAAAAGATTCCATTTCATTCTGATGGAAATAAAGTGAATGAAGTGAATCGAGTGATGAATGGTTGAATGAATGAATGAATGATATGTAAAAAGCTTCTTTAAATGGGCTATTGTGAGTACATGTGCGCCAATCTGTATGTGTGTGTATGTGTGTGCGAGTGTGTGTGTGTGTGAGTGTGTGGTTGAAAGTAAAGTATCCAGTCAAAACTAGATGAAAAATATATATGAAAGAAATGATTTCCAATGATGATCATGATCATGATGACGATCATGGTGATGATGACGATAATCATGATGATGATGATGATGATGATGATGACAATAGTCTTGTGTTTCATTTATAAAGTAACATGACAATCTAATTAGTAAGTTCAATAGATTATGATGAAAACACGTGAATTACATCATTTTTTTTAATACTAAACATTGTTAGTTTGTTTATTCTGTATATGAAATAGTTGAACAATAAGAAGAACATTAAATGTACATCTATATTTATAGTCATTCGTTTATATGCCTATCTATCATTTTAATGTATTATCTTTTCATTACCTGGATAATTAATGATAGTACCTTTGTTGATTACACCATGTACAATACCATTTGTGTCTATGTAAATACATGTTGTCAATATTAAATATACATGAATATATAAATGTACACAATGAAAATCATCTTTGTATACACAAATGTGTATGTGTGTGTGTGTGTGTGTGTGTGGATGTGCTGATTTCTCAATTTCCATACAATTCATATTATGATTGGTAGACAAAGTCTAGTTAAAGGAACCTTCAAAACAAAAAAAAACAAAAAAAGTCAACAGACTTTGAATAGGAGACTATTGAATATTGATTTAATTTACATATACAAAGTATTGAATGTCATATTTGATCATGCTTTAATGTACTAGATTTGTTCCTTGCTGAGACTATGGATACTTATTGCTGTGAGAAATTATGTGTATGTGTATGTATGTGTATGTGTGGGTGGGTGGGTGCGTGTGTTAATTTGCTGATTGCTCAATTTCGAAACAACTTTTATTATTATTATTATTACTGTTGGTGGTATAATACACTAAGTCTAGTAAAAGAACCTTTAAAAATCAACAGGACTATTGAATATTGATTAAATTTACACATACAAGGTATCAAATGTCAAATCCGATAAGATTTAATCTACTGAATCAGTTAGTCAGTCAGTAACAACGTACAACTTCGTGCGTACGTACATCAATTCGAGTTGTCACACCACATTAGCACAGAGATCCAGTTTTCGATTCAAATCCCGTAGTGATAGAGGTAGTAAAAGTATAAGCAGTAATCCGAAAGATTAGTGTTTGGAGATGTTACTTCAAGAGTATAATACAGTGAAACAAATTTGGAAAGAGAAAAAAGAGACAAGGAGGGTTCAGGATATTAGAATTTGGAAGAACACAAAGAGTGTATGCACCTGCGCCATTGCAAACGATTTCAAGCCATTTCATTCAAGGTCTCTAACCATCGGTTGCTATCGTCTCGCGGATCGCAACCAGATAGTCTACGCCTACCAACGTGACTCAGTCCACTTGTCAGTGACTTCATAGACTTGTACCATGTTTTGGTCTGGCCACCCCTAGCTTTCTTCCAACCTCCTCTTATACCAATGAACATCGCACATCGAGGCAGTTGGTGGTTGGGCATATGTAACACGTATCCCAGCCATCTCAACTGATGAAGTTGTACTACTTCATCAATTGATTTGCCATCCTTACCTAGTACCCGTTTCCAGGTACTGAGTACTTACTATGGAATAGTAATATACTACAAAAAAATAGTTTTCTATACTCATTTAGTTACTAATGTGTTTTTTTCTTTTTCAAACTGAAATCAGTTACCAATTAAGCCTGAAAATTTAATAGTTTCAAACAACTTTGTCATAATAACAATTATGACTTAATCATTAGTGAATAGGACACACATTGAGAAGAGCATCCAAATGTGTCACAACGTAAGTCTTCAGTTGGAATCCTTAAGGCCAAAGGAAAACAGGAAAACCAAAGAACACATAACACCGAGAAATGTAGACAGACATGAGAAGAATGAACAAGAATTGTATAGAACTAGAATAGGGAGGCCGAGGACAGAATGGATTGTAGAATGGTTGTCGGCAGCCTGTGCTCCATTGTGGGTAACAGGTGTAAGTCAGTAAGTAAGACTCAAATTACACTATGCATTTGTATGCATCTGTATGATAATGTTAATAATAATATCAAACTATTCAAACTGGACTCTTTGAAGAATCTAGAATGCAGTGGCCGGAATTCAGTGTTTCCAATGAACAGGCCAATACATTTTATTGCATATTATATTGATATGATCCATATATTTATATTAATTGTTGCTTTGATTGTTAGAAGTGGCATCGACCTAGTGACTTTCGAAGAATATAGGCTTTCACTATGAGGCTTCATACTTCTTCCTTCAACTCAGAGGACAGATTTTAAATGATTCAACTTGTTTATTTTGGTTAGCGTTATTTAGCAAGGTTGTCTTTTCTTTTTTACCCCGGGGTTGGAATCAACAGTAGCCCTAGAAGAGCTATAGGCGGCCTATACTACTCCACGAGGGGTAACAGGCGTAAGAAAGTAAGTGTACTGATACGACTACAGCTTATTGGAAGTAGATAATCTTTTAGATTTAAACTATGGATCATAAACACATTTACAGAATTCAAACCAAATAGTGGAAACTACCAGCAACACAAACTACCATCCAGTCAGATCACTAACTAACTCATTATTTTTTTGTTTTTACAATGTAGTAATAGAATTGAAGACTGAATACTATCAGTAGTTCAAATGTAACAATAGCCTATATGTACACTGATTTACATTTGTCAAACATAATATTCAAAATAGTACAAGTGACTCGCTCTAAACGCTATCGTGCTGTTCATTTGAAGTGAACGATACTGGGTTCGAGTCCCAGAATGAACATCAACTCAGATGTAAGTACTTGCAGATGACCAGTCCTAAATAGGACAAAACACGATTCCTGGATAGCAACTATTCATCTTTGCTTCTATAAAGCTTGTGAAGTAAGGCTAGATCGAGGCAGTTCTCATAGGATGCACATATGCCAACAAGAGACTGATCAATTTCAGTCCTAAATAACAATAGGAAGATACACATAAACAACACCGAGTGAATTTATGCAGAAATTAATTTAAAACATTATAGACTTGGTAATAAGTCAAAGATCAGATAAAAGTTCTTATTATATGATAAAATGACACAGTTCTCTCAGCTGATTATTACCGTACTTACTTACTTAATTACTCCTTTAAGTGTTCCGCCCATCGTTCTAAACGTCTGGACTAGGAGCAGATAAAAGTGTCTTCTCTTTCCGAAATAGTCTCACTTACACTTAACTTATTAATTCCAGTTTCTTTTATTAGTCAGTAGAGCTATCTTGTGTTATCTACAGCCGCCATCTTTTCCATCTCTTTTGCTTTCGTTGCCCACCACTGCTCACGGTCGTTTCTTAGACTTTTGCTTAACCTTGATCTGATTTGTTGTCGCTCTTCATCATGTTCAGAACCTGATGGGACGAGTTTGCGAGAATCCATCAGTGTGATAGACTTTGAAGAAATCCACTGGTTCTTTGAAACTCTGTGGTTTAAGTCGCTAATAGATGTCACTGCTGTTTCCACAGCTGTTTGGATATCTTTCCAAGCAACATCTAGGTCAGCCTCGTTTTCAGAACTACCTAAGTGTGACATCAGTTGTTCCTGGGACCTACTTTTGGTTTTCACATTACTTAATTCAATTCTAATGGGTGTTCTTAATGTGCCTTTTCTGTGTCCAGTGAGGCGCAAGCAAATGAGTGCGCGTATTAGAGCATGATCAGAGTCTAAACATGTACTCCAGAACGAGTGACAGTCTTCTATCGAGCTTCTCCAACGATGGCTGATGACAATATGGTCTATTTTAGTGCACCGTTGGTCTGATGCAGAGGGTCGCCATGTTAGACGATATCACTCCTTATGCTTAAAATTTGTGTTTGCTAAAAATAAATGATTGTCTGAGCACAGTTGCAGCAGATGATCACCATTATTTGTTCGTTGTGCTGGTATACTAAAATACCCACCTAACTGTCTCTTTGCTTGGTTTAAGCTTCCTACTTGGGCATTAAGGTCACCTGCTACGAGTACTATGGCTGAACGTTTAGCTTTCTGAAGAAGTTCAGAAGTTTAGAGGTGAAAGTCAGTGTAGGAGGAATAATAGGAATTGAAGAGGGAAATTTATCATGAATACAGTGGTCTTGAGTGCTGCTAGAGGTATGAGGGTGGTTATCACTCCTCGGTTCTTGTGGAGGTACCTGTAAAGAAAGTTGAATTCGAGGTGGTCTTAGTGACCTCAGGACGTGACCGCAGTGCCCAAAGGACAACTGCTTGCGGTGAGTGATTTTTGTGTCAGCTCCTTACTTGTTGAGACCTTACCTCCAGAGACGGATATCTGTGGGGTAAGGCGAGGTGTGCATTTTTAGGGTCGACCTTTTCTAATCCCACCCCTCCTTGTGGGAAGGCAGCATCACTGTCATGCTGGTTGTGTGAAGGAAACACCTTACTGCTGCCACACCTCTGTACAGTCAGTAGTACGACTTCGCCTTCGGACTTTGGGTTTGTTGCTTTTAGTATTACCACTCTTCAACCTACATGTCTGGCATGGTAGGACCTTGAGGAACGATTGTTCCAGCCAGTATAGCTCGACTAGTTCATCACGATAGGCAAGTCCGACCACCACGTCAACGTAGCAACAACATTAGGCTGTTGCTGATGGTTTCCTGCCAACGGATATTGAGTATCCTGCATAAACCGCTGTTTATAAATACTTGTACTATTTTGATGATCGTTGTAGTGATTCTCCAAATTTCAACTCCATACAATAGAACTAACTGTTTTGATGTTTGTATTAAAGATTCTGATTTTGATATTAGTTAACAAGCAGTTGTGTTGAATTCCATATGTTTTTTTGATTATAGAAATCCTCTCATTGTTACACTAATCCTCACCGTAACATTTACATCCAATCCTCTTTGTTCATCAATAATACTATTCAGATACATGAAATATTTCACATCTTCTAAAGTTAACTTGGTTACCATGACTAAAAACAAAAACAAAACAAATCTAATTACATGTTTACAATACATTCATTGTATCTTTTTGTTGGAATCCGCTGACATTTAGATTGTTTAAGAGATTCATTGGATCGGTTAATTATGATCATAAATTTTATAATATGAGATCATATGAGATATTTTTT